TTGTTTGTCACAATTACAGCCCTGGGAAAATGGCGGGGGTGGTTTTTGACGGTGACTCAGGCATATTATGTCATTTTTTGACTCCCTGTTAGGATGTTTGTTATGGATTAGATATCCTGTCATTGTGCTGGTGCTGAAATTTAGGTTGAGCTCACAAAGTAATGGCTTAGGCATGAACATGAAATTAAGGCTTTATGTGCATTCCTGTTTTATTATATGCATAACATGTTAATTTTATAATCATCTGGGGGACAAAATGCACTTTTTTTTGTCATTTTAGGGGTTTGAGGCAGTCAGAGGATTATTTATTGCATACAATGAATTTTAAAATTATGTTTATTTATTTATTTGGAAAGGTTTTGTATCTAGCTCCCTTAAAAAGGGTGACTCTGTATCTTTATTTTCAAAGATAGAACTACTCATCTTTTTTCATTAATTTTCCTTCAGCTTAGTCCCTTTTTCAGAGGTCACCACAACGGAATGAACCACCAACTATTCCAGCATATATTTCATGAAGTGGATGTCCTTCCAGCTGTCACCCATACACACTCCTAAACGGCCAATTTAGTTTATCCAATTCACTTATGGGCATGTCTTTGGACTAGTGCTGCACAATATATCGTTTCATCATCGATATCGCCATGTGTGCATTCGCAGTAGTCACATCGCAGCATCTGCAATGTGGAGTTGGGATTATTATTGTTGATCAGCAGTGAAGAATGTATAGTGTTTATATTTTACATTACATTTGATTATTCAGAAGGGCCAGGACAAAATAGTAATTTGCATGAGGTGGCGCTTCTCGTAATGGCAGAGTGAACATATATAAATGTTGCAATTCTTTGATATATTTGTGCTGTTAATAAACAAATACATCTTATATGTTTTTGATGCATTTTTCCCCTCCTCATTTACAAATATCATGATACATTGTGGATCTTTTTCTTGTGATATATTGCTGATATTGTGATGCATCATTATCGGGGGGAAAATATGATAGTATTGAACAGGGCTGGGCAATATTAGCAAAAAATAATATCACAATAATGTTTCATATCATTCGATATCGATCATTTTTGAATATTTTTTAACTAAACATTTAGGAATATTAGGATTTTTTTATTAAACTAGTTTATTTTAATTTACCAACATTACGAAGTAAAATAGTGTTAATAGTCGAAAACATAATATTTAAACAAAATAGGTGATCTCTTTATAACAAAATAAACTAAGTGTTAAAGAGACCCTTAAACTTGATAAAGAAAATGTTACAAAGTGTGTGCAATGGTAAAGTGTAAATGTTGAACAATCAAAGCAAACTTTAAGGTGTGCATAATAATGGTACAGTAAACCTCAAACACAAATTATGATAATGAAATCTGAGCTTTCAAGTAAAGGAACCAACCATCAATATTCAAATACATACTGAATATTAAAAATTGTGAAGTTGAAATACTACATTACCTCTATGCTAAAACTGCGTTCAGATGGCGTGCTAGTGGCTGGGATGCACAAGAAAAGAAACCAAAAAGCCACTCTATCGATATCTTGTCATTCTTTTTTTTATTTACAATCTCCTCACTGCTGCTATACGGCACTCATTTTCGCACGTGTTGTTATTCTGACCTGAAGTGACAAGTGTGTGTGTGGATTTCTTAACCATTTACAATGGACTTTGGGCTCGCACTCCCCTGGCCTCTCTCGTAACTAGGCGACCATTTTGTCCGAGGATGACAAATGTACAAATCATTGCAGCCACTCCGATGCAAGTTTATGGAGAAAAGTAAAAAGCACTGCAGTGTTTGAGTGTGCTGTGTTTGTCAGAGGTAATTAGTCTGCCGTTATTGCTGAAATGTCTATATTACATACAAAATGTGAAGCAGGTTGGCTAGTTGTACTTGCATAAATTGCGGTGCGCTCGTCTGAATTCAGAAAAGTAAAAAAAAAATTTTAGCTAGGTGCGGCTGCAACATGTGTGTCGCTCCCATATGCTTGTCGTGCAAGTCGTTCGCCTCCATTGGAAATGAAAAACTTACACCCTAAGCTTATTGTTACTGCCTTTAAGGTACTCTCAGCGGCCACATTTTAATAAAAGTATAGCGTTTCATACCGAAAATACATACCAAATCTTATTTTTTTTTATATTGACAATGGTTGTTTGGTCAATAAATATCGATGACGATTTTATCGCCCAGCCCTAGTATCGTATAGTAATACTGTATCTGACTACTTACTTGACTTTTATCTTTCCTCTATCTTATTTTTTTATTCTTGCAATTTCTTTGATTCACTCCTCTACAAGATTATTCCAATTAAAGCTAATGATTTCATTCCAAATAGAGCTATTCAAGCTGAAATTGTTTTCATATCGCAATATAAATTGCAGCAAAATAAAATATTGCAGTGTCAGATTTGTCCAGATTTGTCATGCAGCCCTACTTTAGACTGTGGGGGAAACCGAAGCACCCAGAGGAAACCCATGCGAACACAGGGATGCTAACTCTACTCAGAAATGCCAACTGGCCCAGTGGGGTCTTGATCCAGTGACCTTCGTGCTGTGAAGCGACAGTGCTAACCACTGAGCCTCCGTGCTGCCCCCTACTCATCCATAGTCAAACCTTTTATTTTCTGATTCATCCATACGACTGATATCTTACAGGGGTTTAGTGGTATGGAATGTAAATGTCATGTGGTTGCAGGTGACAGACAAACGAAAGTATAATCAGCAGTTGGTCGTAAGGCGATTAATAATTGAACTCAATTTACAGTTGTAGACAATTTCATTGTAATTTAGAAATTCCACCCTGAAAGTGAACTTTCACTTAACAATGAAAGTTAAATGGCAGTGATTTGACTGGCCTGCCAAGCCCCTAGGAATGGAAAGCGAGAGACAGACAAGGTAAGAATGGAAGAAAGCCTGATATATGACCCTGCCTTAATTGCCCCAGAACAAATTGTATTCCCTTTTTTTCCCTTTTATCTTTAGCCAGCATTTGTGCTTTTTACTGTTCTTTGGAGCAGTCAGGATCAGGGTGGCTGTGTACTTTATTGGGTAGTTAAAGTCTTAATAAAGCTTAGCATCAGTTCCCCTTAAGCCCTTGAGAGTGGACTTCCACTGCCGAAATACCTCAAGTCTGATGGTTCTCATCACAATATGTCACAATTTCATTTTTCACCTTTTTCCTCGCAGTACTCCAGGCCCATTAATTCACATTTTCATTCATCTAACATTTTTACCTTCTCATTCTGCGAGTTGCTCATTAGTCGCTCTTTGCAGTGAGAATAATTGGTACCCATTAATTAATGATCCCTGTTATGTGCTGTGTATGAAGATTGTTGAAGAACTGCCGAGGATAATCTAATATTAAACCATATACAGTTGAAGTCAGAATAATTAGTGTTCCTGCATTATTAGCCCCACTGCATATTTTTTCCCCAATTTCTGTTTAACGCAAAGAAGATTTTTTTTCTGCACGTTTTTTAAACATGAAAATTTTAATAAATAATTTCCAATAACTAACATTTTTTTTATTTTTGCCTTGATGACAGTACATAATATTTAACTAGATGTTTTTCAACATACTAGTATTTAGCTTAAAATGCAATTTAAAGTCGTAAGTAGGCTAATTAGGTTAACTAGGCAAGTTAGGGTAATTAGGCAAGTCATCGTATAACGATGGTTTGTTCTGTAGACAATTGGAAAAAAATACATCAAAGGGCTAATAATATTGACCTTAAAATAATTTTTTAAATGCGTTTATTATGGGTGTAACATATCGCTGGTGATCCGTGATTCGTACGGATCACAACCTACAGTTCGGAACGCACGTGACCTGCGGATGAATAACTTTTTTTAACTTGTAGGTTAATCCAACATTTATAACAATTGCAGAGAGATCGCCTACCACATCATTCAAATCATGTGTATGAGAGCATTTTGGCTTCCCTGTAAAATATAAAGATGACAGAAAAAGTTGTGGTGGGACCCACCTAAATGCTTTCTTAAGGTGTTTTCTGTCACTGGTTGTTTAGCCTATGTTAATGCATTCAGTGTAAAGCTACTAAATTAAACATCAAAAGATCGGGATCTCAATTCAAACCCACACAACATAAATGATAATGATTTGCATATGTTTATTAATTCGAAGCGCTGCATTCTAATTTGCATTTGATCGAGAGAGACTCAGTTTTTACACTTTCAGTTCGTTACAAACATTTAAATAACAGAAGTACTGGCAGTACAGTTTATAGTTCAGATATAAACACTGATGTTTATGATAAAGCTTAAAATCAATGTTTAATGGAACTTTGACGCTGGTGAATATTTTAGCAATTACATTTTTTAGCCCATAGGTGGCAAACAACCATCCAAATTATGTCATTGAATAGGTCTTTAAAAATGATACACCTATAATCAAACATGACCTTTTATGTGTGATTTGAATCATTAATTGAAAATAAATATATGTTATGTTGTACAAGATGTTAGATTTCTATATTTAGCATTATCAGCAACAGTAGCAAAGATCATATATCGTTTTGAATATTTTCCCTTCTTTCAGCTTGTTCTTTCTTGATTCAAAATTTTAATTAAATGACAGATTCTAAGTTCTGTTTGTTAAAACCAGTGGTTTTTGCAGTAATATTTTTGTATAAATGGAAAGCAAATTAAATTTCTCTCCTCGCTTTTTTGCTGATTCGAAAAATGGTCCGATCTGTGAAACCGTAGTGTGATCGGTTACAACACTACCGTTTATTCTAGTCGAAATAAAACAAATAAGACTTTCTCCTGAATAAATACTGTGGAAAAATTCCTTGCTCATCATTTAGGAAATAATTAAAAAAGAAAAAAAATTACAGGAAGGCTAATTAGTTAATCTATTCATTCACTAAACTATATATATTAGCATGCAATAATACATCATGGGCATTGATTAAGTAAAGAAATGCATGTATCTCTCTTTTTATCCTCATTACATGCTCTTTTTGTTGTCTTGCAGATGAACATGGACATTTGAAAATATACCTGCCCAAAAAGCTGCTTGAATGTCTACCAAAATGCTCCACGTTGCCAAAGGAGAGACACAGGTGGAACACCAATGAGGTAAGGTCACCTCTCTCCGCCATCTGCTGCTGTCTTTTTTTAACTCCTGCTGACTTTATAGAGATAAAACCTCGTTTATTTTAAGCAGTGAAACGGACACAATGTGTTAATAGAAACCTCTCTAGGGATTCTGCAGTCAGTTCAGATATTAACAGCAACTGCGTGATTGCCTTATTTTTGTGGCAGAAGGAAGTTGCCTGCTCTCTGTGCTGTGCTAGCAAAGGATTTGCACTCGCTGAAAGTGGATTGAGTGTTTTAACAGCAGGTTCATAAAGCTTTCTGTATATACAAGGATCTAATTTTTTCAATCGCGCAAATATAAATTTGCAATAGTTTATAATGTGCTCGTAAAACATTTATGTTTTGGCTTTCAATATTTTAGCCCATATTCTGTTGCTTTTTTGGGGGATGGTGAATTGCCCAGAAGTTAGTAAGTTATAACTTCATATATATCATTTTTGGCCATCTGTTCCAGCATCACTTCTGTTCACAGATGTTTTAATTCCCTGGAAATATAGACGCAATGTGATGAATTCATTATTTATATATTTTTATCTAGTGTGATGAGAGAAATCTTGCAGATTGATGCTACAGTGCTGATTCAGACCGTATTTTCTTTAACTTTCTTCATTTCCGTTAAGCTTGGCTCAGTCTGTCTGTAGTCGTGCAAAGCTTTTTGTCAACAATTGTAACATTTTAGAAAATTTTCCCAGGGGAAGGGAGTAAAAAAAAATATATTTGAGGATTATAATAAAGCGAGATTCGGTTGTTTATTGACTTTCAGTAGACGGTGACATGCTATTTCAGATCACTCAGGAGCCCCGCTATCTAACAAAGCCGTATACCTAATAATCTACATATGAAAATGTGCTTTAAGTACGTTTATCCCAGCCTGAAGGCATTTCAGACACAATGCATCAAACAAATAAGAAAAGATAACAAGCCTCTTAGATTCTGCTATTGAAAATGAAAATGTAAAATGTTTTTATTTGTATGACTGCGGTAGGAAAAAAATCAGAGACCGTTTGCTCCTGCCGTCCTTGACCTATAGGCCAGCCGTTTTAAATTAGTTCATTTCTTTTCAGCGCTGCTACTTTATCATTTAATGGAAATGAGACGGTGACTTGCTTGATTTTTCGCATTTTATTTGTTGTTCGTGTTCAGTCTGTTGCGCGGCATGGCTCCTCTCTACGCGGAGGCTGCGGGGAGATTGAAACTAAACATTGTTTCGCTGCCGTAAGCTAGAGGGATTTTAAATGACTGACTTTCTCTAAGGAGATTCATAAACTCATAGCTCAGTGAAGGCGATGCAGTTTTATTACAATTGATCCCATTGAAGCACGCGCGGGTTTCACACATTAAGTGACAGGCATCATCAGAGAGAAGGAGACAAAGGAACATTGTGTGTGCATGCCAAGCCTTTTCTTTAAAACTCTTTCCTTCAAATTAACGACTTTCTCTCCTGCAGGTAGGTAAAGAGAGGGATGAGGAGCACTCTGGTGGGCTTTTTGAGCTTTCCTGCCTCGCTCAGTAATATCAAAACGGCTGCCACAGCCACATACATAACTCACATGTCACCTTTACATCAATTTCGGCTCTGCCAAAAGTCCCCAGTGACAAATCACTGACGTGGCCCTCTTAAAGGGATATTTATGAATTGAATACACTGCTTTATCCCTCTGCGTATTCTTTATGGAGTGACAAGTGGCTTTTTTTTTTGAAGGGAGAGAGGTGTGGATATGAATGACAATGCTGGAATAGACGCTGAAAGCAGCAGCAGCAGCCGTCGAATGTTTGTGTCTTGTCAGATTTAACTCTGAATGTTTTCCCTCTGCGGTTCTGGTAACCAGAGACTCAGTTTCGTTTTGTTGAATAGTTTGTCTTTGAAGTGCAAATACGGCATTGTGGGATATGGTTGATTGTTTGGCTTCATTTCCACGTAATATGATGCGATGCTCCTAGCAGTAAAAAATCTGAACTATGCATGTGCACTTGTCATTCAAAGGCTGTCAGCTTAAATCGGGCGTTCTGTTTGTTTGTACATATTTGCCGTCTGCTTTGGAATAATACGAGGGAATGAGAATATTGCTTCAGATCAGCGGTCGCCTTGCTAATTGAAGCTGATGCTTTAACGCGTTTGACCTGTGGTGTTGCGCTTGCAGTCACAATCAATTAATGTGCGTTTGGGAACTGATTTCAAAACGTCAGAACTTATTGTGGAATGATGTCGTATTCGTCCTAGGATTATGTGTGAAGATTTATAGAAAGGAATCAAGGTAATATTTTAGAAAGACCACCCCTTCCTCGATTCTTTTTATTTAAGAAAGCACAGTAGTTTGCAAATTGTGTCAATTAGTGCAAATGGCACTTATAATGGGATATGGGCACATTTAGTCTATAAAGTCATTGGATAGATGTTGATTTTTGCTGCAGTGCTCTTAATTTGCCTCACTTACACTTCTCTCTTCACAATAATATAGTGCTTCATGTTCTTTCCAAGCAATTACATACACTAAATAAAAGTAAATCCATTTGTAAAATAACAGGCTTGAATTCTATATTTCTCAATCTGCATATAACCGCTCAGAAAATGCACACTGTAAATGTAAACTCAATACAAATCTGCAGTAATGAAATAATATAATAACATTACCCGTGTTTTATTGGCTTAGTCTTCTATTTGTAACAAAGATTTCTGCAAAGTGATTTTCTGTAATGCTATTATGGTGTTTCTTCAACTACAGGCAATTTTATGTCCCAGTGGATGATTTTTTATTTTTTATTTTTTGGAGATAATTATTACTTTGAAACTTTCTCTTTTTTCATTATGCTTTTATTTTTTGTTACTTTGTAAATGCTGCTTTTTATTCTTGTCTCAGACTTTGGATTTATGAAAATCCATAAATATTATATGCACATAGGCTGGGGGTGTGTAGTCAGAGGATGTCTGTAAAAAAAAAAGAAACTACTTTGAATTTTCTTTTAATAATTTACTGGATTAAAGTAGCCATAGTTGAAGAAATACCTATTTAAATAGCTTTTGCAGTAGTGCATATTTATGTCACTAAAGCGGTATTTGACCCACAAAACTTTGGGAAATGCCGTTTAACCCTATTGTTAGTATTTATTTTGTTGTAGAGGTGCACTAAATGAAAATTCTTTGCCAAAGCCAAACAAATAGTAAAGCACTTTGCTGAAGGCTGAGTACCAAACTGTTTTTTTTTTATGTTATGCAACTTTTTCATCATGATTTCCACTATTTTGCCTTGCTTTTAAATTTTTTTTTGACATTTTTACATTCCAACAGAAAATATATCAACAAAACAGAATAAAACTTATAAAAAAATAAATCTGTAAAATTTTAATATAATTTTTTTTAATGGAATTAATTAAATCAGTACTTAGCAAAATGTTCTTCTACACTTAACAAAAGAGCTCATGACCATTAAATGGCTTTTTTGAGGTAAAAGTAATGTTTCATTTCAGTATTTACAAGCTGTTTACTAGTTTGCAGTCAACAGTGATTGAGCGATTACATGAGATGTGCTAAATTTAAACATTTCAGATTGTTTGTTTCATCGGCAGTCTGGATGTTCATGAAGCAGCTTCAGTGATCTGCCATGGCACAATACCAACATAGACTCATTGTGAAAATGTGTCCCTTTTATGTTTCTGAAGATAACGAATTTTGTAACCAGAAGTACGTATGGCCCAATTTCATCTTTAAAATGAACATTTTGAGGTGGAATGATGCGGTTGCTTTTCATGCGTTCCAACTGTTACCAGTTTGCCCAGTAGCTCACTTTGTATGTAGGCGGACTTGAGATGCAGAGAGGAGTTGACCACGATTATGGGGGTTGAGTCCAGCAAAGAACGGTTTCAGAAATTGAGTAAAATACAATAAACAAGTAAATAACAGTGTGAGAATGTGGTAAAATCTGAAAACATAGTATAAATGAGACGAGGGCTTTTCTTTTTCTGGATTGCTTTTGAAAACATTATTGGTTGGGTTTAGGGAAAAAGGACGGTGGGTCAGTCGATCTGTCAGTCAGTCAGTCAGTCAGTCGACAGCGTCCTCTAGTGGATTTACGCAAGCAGAGCAGGCACAAATGGCACTCGCTAGAGAAATCTGAGATTTCAAAGTGTGTACAGCGCTCTCTGGTGGATTCACGAAAACAAAAACTGCAAAAAAATATACCTTCTGGTACATATTTGACACTTTCTAGATTTGTATATAGCAGTACGTTTTCAGAATGAGCCTGGGTTGCACATTAAAAGGGATCAAAATGACACTTGAAATAGACAAAACACCTCATGGAAGAGCTGATAAAACGTCACCGAACTTGTAAATATGATTCTGCCTTCCAAAAATTTGCAGATATTCAATAGTCTTCATCACCTTTCTAGTTGTGCATTATCACTTTATCTAGTCAGATGCATTGATTAAGAACTGATTACATGGGCCATATAGTTTAAGATCTGTCGGAGGCAGCACAAAATTTGACGAAGATGCTGCCTCATGATTCATTATGCAGGAAAAGCCCTTATCCTCCTCCGACCTCTTTTGCTCTGTGCTTTGCCTTATTGTCTCCATCACCCAAAGGCTTTTCCAAATCAAACTCTACCTGGATCTTACAGTGCTGTGTCTGCAAATGGCAAATTCCACGCTACCAACACATTTGCTATATTTAAAGAGCATGCTTCTCACTCTCTATACTGTATACTATTTGACTGCCTCATTACAAACTCCCTTATTCTGTAAAAAGGATTCAGTCTTTGCTATTTTTCTTGTGTCACTTGCTGTTTTCATGTAACATGCATTCGGATTGTCTGTACCGCTGGTGGGATGGAGGGCAACCTTGCCCAAAAAGCAAGGGCATTTGTGTGTCATGTGTGCCAGGCAGACACTGAGGCTAGTGTGAGTCACTGATGGCAGACTGAGAGGTATTAAGCAGTCTCATTGCTGCTGATTGTGTGACTCTTACTGAAAGTGACACCTC